AGCTTCCCAATATGATCACTAGCATTGCTCCAAAGGCAATTCATTCCTGATCTAACTATTCATTTCTCCCAGAATACTCACATATCTGTCCAGTAATTCACAGACTTGGTAGTCTCAAGAATTCAAAAACAATGAATGTTGTGTCTTCACGAGGGGGAAGATCGTAGGAGGGGGGGGGGGGCAAAGATACTTGTTGCAATGACAGCATCTTCTGATCTAGCCTTCTAACTTGTTGTTGGCTCCGAGCACCTCATATCCATTACGATAAAAAGAGCACAATCTGACTTATTTCATCTCTGTTAGAATTGGATGATCTGTTCATGAAAAAGAATAATCTTCGCAATGTTTATCAGTTTTGAACAAGATCGCTTCTCTTTTCCATTTCGAAATTATTTGTGTAACAAAAAAAAACAAAAAAAAAGAAGGAACCGAAATCAGAAACTCTCTCCTCATCATCATCCATCGTCATCTGTTTCACTGGAATTATATATACTCATCATCATCTTCTTCTTTCTTACTTACGTTTACCCAAAAAGTATTTACTGTTCCTAAACTGACACCAACTGTTCATACAATGTTGAGATCATCATCACGCTTAGTCGTCAGACAAGGGTTGCAAGCATTCAGATCTTCCACTCCCCGTGCACTCCGAACTCAAGTTCCCAAGTTGCTTTTATCCTCGAGAACATTTTCCCAATTAGCACACGTCAAAACCCCACCAAATTTACAAAACGAGCCAGTGAAACCATTTGGTTTCAATGATGTCAAGGATTGGGATTTGTTACGTGCTTCGCTTACTAAATTTACCGATGAAGCTAGTTTAAAAGTACCATTGGTTGTTGGTGGACAAAAAATCTATCGTGAAGACACCAAGCCACAATTGAATCCCGCTAACCATTCACAAAACTTGGCTGATGTGTCGCAAGCCACTGTCCAAGACGTACAAGCTGCTATTAAAGCTGCTAAAGCCGCAAAGGAGTCGTGGGCCAACACACCATGGAGCGACAGAGCTGCCATATTTCTCAAAGCGGCCGACTTGATCTCAACTAAGTACAGGTATGATATGTTGGCAGCAACAATGTTGGGTCAGGGTAAAAACGTTTATCAAGCTGAGATTGACTGTGTTGCTGAATTGATTGATTTTTTCAAGTTTAATGTCAAGTACGCTGAGGAATTGTACGGACAGCAACCTTTACAAACTGCACCTGGAGTCTGGAACCGTGCTGAATATAGACCATTGGAAGGATTCGTGTATGCTGTCACTCCATTCAACTTCACCGCCATTGCCGCAAACTTGGTTGGTGCTCCAGCATTGATGGGAAATACTGTTGTTTGGAAACCATCAGCAACTGCAGCATTGTCCAACTACTTGTTGTTGACCATTTTGGAGGAAGCTGGTTTGCCCAAGGGTGTTATTAACTTTATTCCTGGAGACCCGGTTGAAGTCACCGATGTCGTTTTGAATGATCGTGATTTTGCAGCTTTGCATTTCACTGGTTCAACTGAGGTTTTTAAGAAATTGTACCGTCAAATTAGTGAAAATGTGTCGAATGATAAGTACAGGGATTTCCCAAGAATTGTTGGTGAGACTGGTGGTAAAAACTTCCATTTGATTCATCCTAGTGCTTCGTTAAACCACTCTGTTTTGTCTACGTTGAGGGGAGCTTTTGAATACCAGGGACAAAAGTGTTCAGCCACATCGAGATTATACGTCCCTGAATCCATATGGCCTGAATTCAAAGATATCTTGTCTTCTCAAATTGAGCAAATCACTATTGGGGATACTTCTGCATCAAACTCATTAAATGCATTCATGGGACCCGTCATTCACGAACAATCATTCCAAAAATTGGCCAAGGCTATTGATGATGCTAAATCTGATCCAGAGTTGGAGATTGTTGCTGGAGGATCTTATGACTCAAGCAAGGGGTTCTATGTTCAACCTACATTAATCAAAACTACAAACCCCAACCATGAGTACTTGACTAAGGAATTCTTTGGCCCCATCTTGACCACATATGTTTACCCTGACTCCGAATATGACTCAATCATCAAATCCATTGATTCGGTGACAAAGTATGGTTTGACGGGATCGATTTTCGCTAGAGATAGACAAGCTATTAGAACAGCTGAAGAGAAGTTGAGGTATTCAGCAGGTAACTTTTACATTAATGATAAGTCAACTGGTGCCGTTGTTGGTCAACAATGGTTTGGTGGTGCTAGAGCTTCAGGAACAAATGATAAAGCAGGAAGTGCCAATATCTTGTCGAGATTTGTTTCCGTTAGAAATGTAAAGGAGAACTTTTACGAATTGGCCGATTTCAAGTACCCATCAAACTACAACTAAGTGGAGGCAATGAAACTTTTTAAAACTGTACATATAACTAAGTATTTAAATGACGATGTGAAATGAATAGCTCACAAATATTTTCTTCTCAGAAGTGAATGCAACTACAATTCGACACTGGCTAAGCGTCGCCTTCTCTCTCTCTCTCTCTACAGAACGTATTACCTCTTTCGATCTCCATAATACATCGAGGGATGTGGTTGCTGTTGATATTGTTGAATTGGAACTGGTGGTGGTGCAGGCGCAGGAACATTAACAACCCGACCCAATCCCGAACACACGGGACACAACTCCATATCCAACAAGAACCGCACCATACCTGATCCTCTACACCTACCACAAAGCACACCACCCAATCTCGGATCACCCGGTGGCACTCGCAAGGGCACAGTAGGGGCCGTGCTGAAAAACGACCCACTTCCGCCACCTCGTCCACCAGGGTGAGGGTTGGGCACGGATGGGCTGCCGTACGGGATGAATGTCGTGGATCCAAAGTGTTGTGGATGGAAATTGTGATTGACTGAATTTGAGGTGTTGCGGGGTGCAAATCTTTCCCAGCAGTCTTTGCATGTCTTGCCGTTCTTGAGCTTGTATCCTGTATTGTTGCATTTGCGGCAATGGAAGTTCCTGGGGTACTTGAAAGGTAGATCTGAAGAAGCTCCCCCTACTGCTCCTCCACTTGATGGTGCGGGAGCTGGCGAATGGGAATATGAGTTAGAATGGGAATGAGCAGGCGATGGCATGTACGTCAGGGAGCTCGGACGAAGTTGCGACTGTGGACGGGGAGCTGCTGGTCGACTGTTGGAGCTGCTGGGTTGTGGTAATGGTGAACCCGTCTTGACCGCTTCTTCATATGGTGGGGGTGCTTCGTCTTGAGCAGTTGTAGAATTTCGTTTCGAGCTCATTGTGCAAGAATGTTTATCAAACGTTACCTAGTACGGTGGTCCTTATGTGGAATGAGATAGCAACAGGTACTTTGTATTACCTATAATGTGTTGGATCGGAACAGGGTCCTCAATTTGCCAAAAAAAAAATAGAAAAAAAAAATGGTGACAATTATTCATTCGGGTGGAGAGGCACTGTATAGAGGAATTTTGTGCAAGCAAAGTAAGCAATCACCGATTTTTACTCCGGACTTAACAAATCAAGATTACTACTACAAAACTATCTACACCTCCGACAGTAACTTCCATACCCCCTTCCCCCCCCCCCATAATCAAGCCATTCTCTCACCGATCCTTCCTTAGCGTCCTCAAATCAAACCCAAGCTCACCCTTTTCCGCATCAACCTGCCCATCCAACTCATCAATACTCCTCAACAATGCTTCCAACGTAATCGGCACACCAGGCAAATGATCGCCAGCAACCAATCGAAACTGGATATCATTCCCACTAGAAGCAGCATCAGAAGCAGCAGCGGAAGTCTCGGACGACACTGCCTCAGAAACCACCGCAGCATCCTCTTTTTCTTCATCTCGGTGCAAATCAGACTCGATCCCACCATCTCCATTAACCGAGTCGACATCGTCGTACAAGTGGTCAAGAAACGTCTTTTGCAACTTGAATGCATGCCTCAACTGATCGAAGCGAGGCGAATGTACCCCGGGATTGGAGAATCCCGATAATGCCACAATTTTCAAAATCAAGTCGTCGTTAATCTCAGATATCTTAGATGTCTCGGGTGCGCCATTCTCCTTCCCATTTCCCCTAAATTCCCCTCCATCACCGTCCCCTGTCCCATCATCGATATCATCGACATCACTGTGGTAATGATGATGATGATGATGATGATGATGATGTAGTTTAATAGCCCTGTTCTTGAGCAACTGTTTAATCGACCATGTCTTCTCCTGCATCAATCGCCGCAATTGCAACTTGTCAGTAATGGCATCGCCTACTATGGCTTTCGCCACATGCGGGGTCCCAATGTCACTGACTCCTCCCTTGGCGTTTTTGATCTGCTGGAAAAGGACTCTGGTTGGTCGTATCATTCTCCTTGTAAGTTGTATACGATACAACTTGATATGATGCAGTAGTTATCTGCGAATCCTATTTTTATTTTTTTTTTTTTGCCCACTCTATTCAATATATCAAAACTTTAATACCGTGTAAGTCATTAATTACACACATTGAATACAAACTATACCAATCTTAAAGAACTAAACATGACAATAAACACACCATGGCATTCATAATCGTGACTTCATAAAAAGAAAAACAAAAAAATAAAACGCAAGTACCCTCGACCCCAATAAAATCAGTACATTTCAGATTTAAACTACCCCTTTTTGAATCCAATTTTCCTCCAAAATGACTTCTTACCCTTGACTTCATTGCCACTAGACCCGCCAGAATCATTGCTCTTTGTACTTGAAAGTCGCCCTCCAGTACCATTACCCAATGCATTTGCACTCGAATCGGTACTTGCAGTGCCTGCACTAGCTCTCCGCTTTCGTCTCAATTCTCTTCTCCTCTTGGCATCTTCATTATCTTCAATGGAGATTAAGGACTTTACGCGGTAGAAATTGTCGTTGCCACTTGCAGCTGCGCCTACCCCTGGACCAGATCCAGATCCAGATCCATCGGACGCAATGGAGTTGTGTCGGCTCGTGGCGGATGATCCATTAGTTGAAGAAGATGTGGCAAATGAAGACAATTGTGGCCCATACAGTTGAGACTTGTAAATTTGATGAATCTTGCCATCAATCTTTAACGAATCATCTTTTGACTTGATTGCTTCAAGGTAATGCATTGAGTCGTTGAATGATTTATCGGAAATGTCTGATATCCAACTCTGGTACTTTGTTTCGCAGTTGAATGCAAGTGTGTTTTCAATCAAATCGCCATCATTCTCCTCTGGTGGTGTGGGTTGAGGTGCAAATGATTCAACTGACTCGATAGATGAGCTTGAGTTTGTACCCACTGCAACTAAATCATCACTAAATGTAATCTTTGGAACCGGGGACCTAATACGCTCTGATTGCTCTTGCTGCTGCTGCTGNCTGATTGCTCTTGCTGCTGCTGCTGCCGCTGCTGCCCACCCTGTCTCCTTCGATCGAGAGTTTGGTACTTTGAGTGGTTGCTCACCAACACTACCGGAATACCTGCGTGCTTGACAATAAACGAGGAATACTTCACCAAGTAGTTGTTTTCACTACTCTTTTTAATCTTGTACTTGAAATTCAAATTGGATGATTTGATGCCCACGATAAAAATATTGGGATGATACTGCTTCACCAACTTATTCAACATATATTTGGAACCAAACTCCATTCCATGTCGTTCCATGGAGTAGTAATCAGCGCTTTCAACAACAAATTCAACCGTCATCTTAATTTTCAAATCCAATTTCGCAAGATTCAATTTGAGATATTCTAATAAGTCAAAACATTTCGATTTGAGAAATTCATCACAGCTTATTCTTCTCTTTTTGCTATTGTAGTCCTTGATAAATTTTTGTGGGATGAAGCTTGCCACAATTAAGTAGTCACCATCGTGCAAAATCAGTTGGTTCTGTTGCAACACCGATTCGTCAATCTGAAATAACCAATCTAGACAGTTCCATGAATGCTTTCTTCCAGAAATTGTCGTCAACAACGTTCGTCTCCATTCAATTTGATCATAATCATCATGTTGAACGGTAAGAGCAATTGAACGATAGTTGTTCTCGTTAGACGATGGATATTGTTGCTGCTGCTGTTGAGCTTGTAACTTCTCTAAAGCTGAAACTCCCGACGACGATGATCTTCGATTGGTGTAGTAAATTTTCAGATTATCAAATTTGAATGCTCCAAAGTTTGAAGTTTTTGGTTTCATATTGAATTGGGGATCAAGAGCTAGCAACTCTTCATCACTCATGCCTGCAAAAGACTTTCTACGTTGAGGTTGCTCTTGTTCAACTCCCTCTGTCGCTCCTCCTCCTTCTTCTACTGCTTCTTCGGCCCCTACTTCTTCCGCATTCGCTTCAGCTTGTGTCTCCTCCTCTTGATGATAATTGATAGTTGCATCTTCTATATTACCTTCAAACCGATGGTTGTATTCCAACTGTTGCTGTGAAACTTTATTCTTCAAGATCGATTTTGCTGGTGGATTTGGCAATTTTAGTCTTCTTTTACGTTGCTGCTGTTGTGAGCTGTAATAAGCAGACCCTGGTGCTTGACTAATAACATCAAAATTGGGTACTTTGGGTAAATTAGCAAACGGGAAAGAAGTATGGCGAGCTGCTGGTGGGGAAGAACCGTAGCGATAGTTTTCATAGCCGCTGACTGAATTATGGTGGTGTTGTTGTAAATGTGCAGGTGGAGTCAACGGGGATGTAGCCCCGGAGCTGTTTCCTGCAGCCAGTGATACTGCTAAAGGGGTTGTCGTTGTTGTTGTTGTTGTTGTTGTTGTTGCGGTTGATTGTGATGTAGGTCCTGAGTACGAGGAGGTATGTTGTTTACCACTACTGGCGTTAGTTGCTTGGTTGTATATAGGACGATTGTATAAAAAGTCACCATCATCCACGGGATTCAAGTTGTTGAACGATACTCTTCTAGAGTATCTAGGTGTTGTCGGTAGACTCGAAGAATTTTCATTTACTGTACTTGATTGTCGAAGGGTGGCTGTTGGGATATTTGTGGAGGTGGTGGTGCGTGGAGTAGAAGCAAAGTGGCTAATGTCATTAGCACCGTTATTAGCATTGATAGTAGTATTTGTGTCTAATGGATCAATTGAGGTAGAATTGGGACCAGGTGAAGGTTGTTCAAATTGTTGTGGTTGTTGTTGTTGTCGTTGTTGGTACTGTTGCTGATGGTGGGGGTGGACGTGACTACTATCATCAAATGGTTTGTTAAATGGGTCCGGACTATTCAGGTGATATGCTAAATCACTGTGCATAGCTTATGGGTAGAATGCAAGTGTCCAAAAAACTAGTCTATGAGTTGCAGTGATAAAGAAGGTGTGTATGTGTATGTGTTTGTGTGTGTGTGTGTGTGTGTGGAATGGGATGATGATAATGAATCCTTATGAAATGAATGTAGTCTGTTGATGGATGGTCTAGGTATACTTGTATGTATATATATATATATATATATATGTTATTCCTAAGGTTGTAGGTTGCTAAAATAAGATGAAAAGGTAAAGAGAATACGATAGTTGAAATTTGAAAAGGAAATACGGAAAAAGGGATGATGATTGAATAAGAAAGATATATATATATATATGTAGTGATATTTATTACCATGTGTACTATATAGTAAAAACTAAAAGTGGATACTCTCTTTGTGTTGTAGAGAAAGAAGGTAGTGCACACAGTCAAAGAAAAATAAAAAAAATATAAGAATAAGTATGAAGGTATAAAGTGTTAAAGTGTTAAATGTTTCAGAGTAATTTGCTACAGATTGTGTAGATATATGTAGATATGTGTAGGTGTTTTTTTTTGTCTCTGTTTGTTGATGAGTTGATTAGTCATTCAGTTAGTTAGTCAGCCTATTTCTGCTTGTTATTCTTACTCTTATTCTTAATCTTAATCTTAATCTTACTCTTGTTCTTACTCTTATTCTTATTCTACTGTTAACTTTTTTGTGTACGTCGCAAAAAAAGTTTAAAACAAACAACAACGACAAGCAAAAATATAAGAAGAACAAAGTAAGAAACAAATTGGCAAAGCCTTACTCTCTATCTGAATATGCACGTGCATTCATACTCACTTATTTGTTTATGGAGACATGCTCTTCTTTATCGAAGCAATATTAGTATTGTTCCACTACTCATTCTAGTTTTGAAAGGGTAGTTGACACACACACACACACACACACAAATACACACATACACACATGACATAGCCTTAATTGAGTTTGTTTTAAAAACTCAGCC